TTCCAATAGTAGCTAATGGCAAATCTTTATCCAATTTGCGCAAACGACCATTTTGGGAAGTTGTGATTGCTGGCCACTGAGTGTAGAACACTGGTTCGTAGAATGGTGTCAAGCGGCTCAAGTCATCAGCCAAGCTCAAGATTAATGGTAGAGACGACATTTTTTCTTTTGTATTTAGTTTATTCACTTCTCAAGAATAGAAAAATTTAAATAAAGTTCTTTAACTTTATTTTCAGTAAAAGTTTTGTTTGAAGTTTTTTACGCGCTTGTTTAACGCTTTTTTACTTGTAGCAGTTTGAAATTCAACTATGCCGCTAATCGCGAGTGCCGGTGTATTTATACTCACAGCTGGCGGAGCAACCATTCCGACGTGCTGAGAGATTACCGCGACGTTATCAAAGTATGTACATTTCTCTATTCTCTCACTTGACGAATGCGCGCTCATTGTTCCAATTTGTTTGGCCAGAACTTTCGATTTCAAGAAATTTCGATGTTAGCGGGCAAACACTTTACACACTACAATTTCAATTAGAGATAACTTAATAAATACATATAGAAGTACAGACTATATAGTATTATATTGCTACCAAAAAAATAAATACATTGACAAAGAAAATCTTATTTCCGTTTTTGGTGTATATATTGTAGTATATTAAATCTGCAAATGGCTTATTGGCTCAGATATTACTTTTGTTTCCAGTGTACAAATGTATAATATTGGTTAAATCTGCTATTACTAACTCTAATATAATAATTTTTTTTAAAACTACGAAAAGTGCAATAACCTTTCGAACAATTAATCCACAAGCATAAAGTCAAATAGGTGGTATGATGGCCCTTTATTCAAAAAAATTTGAAAATTTGTCAATGGCACCGAACTTTAAATAAAAATTTTATAAAATTTAAAATTTTCTCTCTATTATTTGTCTAAAGTGGTTCAGAAGCTCACATCCAAAAATTATCAAAGTCGCTCTATACTTTTAGGCACATATCCATATCGGATACGAGCGGATATGAGGACTCGCTTAACTTAAGGAGTTGAGCCTCTTTAGGATATTCAAAACATCATATATTCTTTAGTTGGCTTAAAGTGTACTAGAGGCTCATAAAAATTGGCACCTGTGCACACTACATATTGATTAGTGGAAGAGATATCTGAATAAAATTAAGCAGAAATAATTCAATCAGCATAATATGATTTGGTAAATAAGGGATACCGCTCCATACAATACGTCATCGTAAATATGAGAATATGCTAAGTCCTGTCGGATATCAAGAAATATGTATATACTTATACACACATACTTATATCTATATAAACCTATACAACTGAGGTCAATGACATTTAAAGTCAGTTGTGATAAATATTATTTGTAACATACATACATATATGTATGCATATGTAAGGCATTCTCCATATACATATCTATGGTATATTTATCTCCAGAAACTTCATTAATAAAAAAATAATAATAAATGTGTAAGTACATGTAAAAGCATACTTATATACATTTGTATAAAAATATAAAGCAAACAATACACATAATATACTACATAAGTATGTATGTACATAAGAATAAAAATACGTTAGGCCCATAGATAACGTTAATCAACATAAAGCTTTTATTAAAGTTCACAAGAACTCATTAAATGAGTGTCATATACAAACATAAGTGTTCATGTACAAAATGGATATACATTTATGTATGTACATACATATATCGACTTATTTTCACAAACCAGTTGGCAAAGTCATATAATACGTACATATGTATATAATAAATAGGAATGTTCATGCAATTTCTGGAAGCCAAAATCTCATTCTATTGTTTGGCAAACAAACCTTATACGAAATATACGCAAAAATGTTTGCATGTACACGTGTGTATTGAAATGATTAACTCTGCTTAGTATGGTTGTTGTTGCTATTATCTCTCACCAAGTCGAAAAGTTTGCTCCGCCGCTGTGAGTATAAATACACCGGCACTCGCGATTGGCGGCATAGTTGAATTTCAAACAGCAAGCAATAAGAAAGCGTTGAACAAGCGCGCAAAAAACTTCAAACAAAACTTTTACTAAAAATAAAGTGGAAGAACTGTTTTTGAATTTTATTTTTCTATTCTTGAGAAGTGAATTAACTAAATACAAACGTAAAAATGTCGTCTCTACCATTAATCTTGAGCTTGGCTGATGACTTGAGCCGCTTGACACCATTCTACGAACCAGTGTTCTACACACGTTGGCCCGCCATTAGCACCACGCCCAGTGGCCGTTTGCGCAAATTGGATAAAGATTTGCCATTAGCTACTATTGGAAAGGATGGGTTCCAAGCCAGTATGGATGTACAGCAATTCAAGCCCAGTGAGTTGAATGTAAAAGTGGTCGATGATCACATCGTGGTCGAGGGTAAACATGAGGAGCGTGAAGATGATCATGGTTACATCTCACGACACTTTGTCCGTCGTTACGCTTTGCCGAAAGGATTCAAGGCCGATAAAGTGGTTTCCACACTGTCTTCGGATGGCGTCTTAACAGTTAGTGTACCAAAGCCGGCCATTGAAGATAAGTCCAACGAGCGTGTGATCCAAATTCAACAAACTGGACCAGCGCACTTGAATGTAAAGGATAATCCGGAGGAGACAACCAAAGAGGAAAAAGCAAAAGCGTGAATCGTATATCATTCACTTAATTTATAGGTGTTGTAGAAAAGTATTAAGAAGTATATAAGAAACATTATAAAATGATTTTGTTTTTAAGAAAAAAGGCTGAATTTTGAGTTTTTATTGCTTTTAAAAACTGAATTAAAAATAAAACAGTTGTTTTAAATTAAATTGTCTTTTTATTAGTTTCGTTTCATAGTTTTTTCATTGTAAGTAGCTAGAAATTTAAAACTTTACTTTTCCAAACATTGAAAAATCTTAAGTCTATCAAAATGATTTGGCCTTGTAGCTGCTTGAAAATTTTTCTAAGGTATTTGAAACAGAAGCATTTACGGCTATACGAGGTGTGTTCAAAGGAAAAGGGGAATTTCCATTTTTCGCAGGCTGGGGACATTCGATTATCGATATTTTGTTTATGTTATAATCGAACATACATGTTTATCATGTCCTTACATTAGGAGCCAATTTCGATTAGTAGCTTTTTCTGACAACAGAAAATCTAAGTCACGTTTTTGTATGCTATTTTCCTATTCCCAAAACTGAAAAAACCAATGAAAGGAAAGCGTTTTGCCACAATTGATCAGATTAAGTCAGAATTGAAGAATGAGCTGATGGCCATACCGAAATGCACAAATCAGAAGTGCTTCGAGGATTGGAAAAGGCGTTGGCACAGTTGTGTTATATCCGAGGTGGATTACTTTGAAGGGACAAAAGGAAAGAAATTATACCGTGATTTTTCTATACATCTGGTCCAATTCGAATTTATGCTTATTCTGGATAAGTTCCAATAGTAGACACATAAACGTATCCCGTAGTCACAGACACTTCCGTACATATTTCTTTTGAGGTGACATCAATGATAACTATAATTAAGAATCGTGTTAACAAAGTACCAAAAGAACTGTGAGCCTTTGACGGATAAATACCATCTCGGTAGAAACGAAGGAATCTACCCACACTTC